AGTCCACGCATGCCAATTTGGACCGAAAGGCCTTCGAGGAAAATGGTTGTGTAGGGGGGGCGGAGGCCATATGATTCGGGTTCCCAGAAGGCATTCTGGGAGCATAGGTTTGGGGCGTCTTGGGGAGCCTGTTGGGGCGTGCCGTTGTCGACGTCGTCGTCGTCGTCGTCGTCGTCGTCGTCGTCGTCGTCGTCGTCGTCGTAATGTCGTCGTCGCCTATTGGGGCGCGCCGTCGTCGTCGTCGTCGTCGTCGTCGTCGTCGTCGTCGTCGTCGTCGTCGTCGTCGTCGTCGTCGTCGTCGTCGTCGTCGTCGTTTCGTCGTCGTCGATTCAAGAGGGCACTTGGAGCAACTTTGTGCGAAACGATCTGCGGAGGGCCTCGAGAAGGCGATCAATCATGTTCCCAATCAACTTCCCAGACAACTCTCCTGTGGCATGATGGTGCTTCGAAGCCTCCGGAGACTCGCGGGCCCATGATGAACCATGTCCCCGGAAGGCTTTCTGGGGGCATGGTTTGTTGGGGTGTGTTCAAGGGTCTCTTGGGCGTTTCCTGGGAGCCCCTTGAGGGCCTCTGGGAACTCTCGGGCCCATGATGAACCATGTCCCCAGAAGGTTTTCTGGGGACATGATTTCTTGGGGTGTGCTGGGGGGCCTCTTGGGCGCTCCCTGGGAGCCCCTTGGGGGTCTCTTGAGGCTTCCTGGGGACCTCTTCGGCGCCTCACGGGGCTTCGTGGGAGCCTCTTGGTGGCCTCCGGGGGCCTACAGGCGGCCTCTAGGGCCAGAGACCTCGAAATGTCGGTTGGCGGTCCCCCTCTGGGCCCTCTCTTTGGGAGCTCTTGGGGCGCAGTTGGGTTGTCTGGGGAGCCTCCTGGGCCGTCTTGGGGCCCTCTGGAGCGATCTGAAGGGCCTCCTGGGCCCTCTTGGGGCCCTCCTGGGCCGTCCGGGGCCTCGTGGTCCGTCTTGGAGCGATCTGAAGGGCCTCCGAGCGAGGCCGTGAGGGAGCGCTGGGAAGCGGGGAAAGCGAGAACGCCTAAATCCTTCAAAAACCATCGGACAATTAGTGAATCTTGCCTCCCAGGGCCTTCTTGGGGAGCCTCTCGAGTCCGTCCTGGAGGGTGTTGGAGTCCTCGTCGGCCGTCTTGAGGGCAGCTTGGGCGTCTTCGGGGCTTCTTGGGACCGTCTAGGGCCCTCTCGGGACCTCCATTAGCCTGTCGTGGCCTGCTTCGGGGCGGGCCCGGGCCGCCTTGGGACCCCTCTGGGTCTTCTCTTGGCGCGCTCCTGGGGCACACCTGGGTTGTCTGGGGAGCATCCTGGGCCGTCTTGGAGCCCTCGTCGGGGCCTCGTGGGCCTTCTTGGAGCGATCTGAAAGGCCTCTGAGGCCGTGAGGCAGCGCTGGTCGTGGCCTGCTTCGGGGCGGGCTCGGGCCGCCTCGGGAGCTCTGGACCCCCCCCCGCAACCCCTGGTGGGCACCGATGGGGGGAACAAGCAGCTGCACGCCCCCCCCCGGGCCTACTCCGAGATAGAGAATCATTCCCAGGAAGCTTTCCGCGAGCATGATTTGGTCGGCTCTCCAAGAGGGGGGACTCTGGGGGCCTACCGAGGGGCGCCTTCTGGCCTTGTCGGCAAGTCTATTGGAAACATGGTTGGGGCGGTGGGCGGAAGCCCAAGGAATCATGTTCCCGGAAAGCTATCTGGGAAATGCGATTTACCGAAGTGTCTTGGGGGCCCGCAACGGGCTTCCCTGGGGGTCCCTTGGGGCCTATTGGGGCTTCCGGGGGGCCTCTTGGGAGCCTCACGGGGCTTCTTGGGAGCCTCTTGATGGCCTCTGGGGGCGTCCTAGGAGCCTCTCAGGCCAGAGACCTCGAAATCGCGCTCTTCGGGCCCTCTTGGGTCGCTCTTGGGGCTCTCTTGGGGCGCTCTCGAGGCCCTCTTGACTTATCTGGGGGGCCTCCTGGGCCGTCTCTGGGTTTTCTTGGGAGGCCGTCTTGGAGCGATCTGAAGGGCCTCTGACGCGGTCCGGGACCGTGGGGAGGCGGAACATGGGAGAGAGCAAGAATGCTTCAAAAACCATAGGGAAATAAATGATTTTCGGCTTCTGGGGCCCGTTGGAGGGGCCTCTGGAGGCGCTCTTGGGGCGTTTGGCGGCGTCGTCGGCCGTCCTGAGGCCATCTTCGGCGTGTCTGGGGCCTCTGTGGGCTGTCTGTGGGCGTCCTGGGAGCCCGGAAGTCATGTTCCCGGAGAAACTTCCGGGAACATGATTTCGAACGAGGCCCTCTTCGGCCTCCCTGAGGCCGTCTTGGGGGCCTCCTGGGCTGGCTTTGGGGCCTCTTGGGCCGTCTTGGGGAGTTCCGTGAGCCCCATAGGACGACTCCTTTGGGCCGTCTTGGGCCCTCTTGGGTCTCTCTTGGGCTGTCTTGTGGCTCCTCGGGGGCGTCTGGGGTTCTGCGAAGACGAAGCCAACGAGTATGCTGAAAATGTACGTTTTACGTTTTACGGAAGAAATGGGCTGACTTTTGCCTCTTGAAGGCCCTCTGGGGGCCCTCACGGGCCCTCTTGGAGCGCTCTTGGGCGTCTTCGGGGCCTCTTCAGGCTTTCTTCACCATCTGTACGGCCCGCGTGGCCTGTCGTGGGCAATTTGGAAGCGGCCTGGGGCATTCCCGGGGGATCTGTGACCCCCCAAAGGTTCGGGGGGCGGCCATGGGGGATGACGGCACCGATTCTGCCCCCGCGGGCCTACTCAATATATATATATATATAGATGGCAACAAGAGAGCGAAACTATAATATATATATATATATATATATATATACATATAGAGAAATATAACACATCGTTATATATATATATATAATATATATATATATATATATATATTATGAGAGAGAGAGAGAGAGAGAGAGAGAGAGAGAGAGAGAGAGAAAAAAAAACATAGAGAGCGATAGCGACAGAGAGAGAGAGAGAGAGAAAGAGCGATGGAAAAGAGGGAGAGAGAGACAACACATTACAAACAACATAATGCACATTTCCCAGTCAGTGTTTGCACTTCGGGGTTGTTGCTTGTGGAATAAAGAATTGGTCCAGGCGGTCGGTCTGGCGGCTATGTTGCCGCCGTCGCCTAAGCCTGATTGTCGGTCTGGCGGCTATGGACTATGTTGCTGCTGTCGCCGTCCCGTCGCCGTCGTCTGGGTCAGTTTGTCGGTCTGGCGGCTATATTGCCGCTGTCGCCGCCCCGTCGCCGCCCGTCGTCAGGGCATGACGGTCGGTCTGACGGCTATGTTGCCACGGCCGCCACCCCGTCGCCGCCGCCCGTCGTCTGAGGCTGTCTGTTGGTCTGGCGGGTATGTTGTCACCGTCGCCGCCCGTCGCCCTTGTATGGCACCACATAACCGTTTTTAAAAGGCAATTCGTAGATTATCCCCCCCCCCAGGATTATCCGCACCCCTTTTGGTATTGCGATTTGCAAATGATTCTGCCCCATCGTCCATCCAAAAAATTGCTTCGTAGCATCCCACCCAGGCCGGTATCCGCCCCGCCGTCATCCTTCGCAAAACATGCAATGCGCGCGCACTCGTTTATCAAATATCATCGGTGTTCTAGAAACCCTTGCAAATGAAACGAAACGCACACGCGCGTGTCATCGCGCGCGTATGCCAGAATCCTTCAAAAACCGTCGGTTTCTGAAGGGTATCGAAATCGAGTGTCCGAAACACATATTAAAACACATCGCCTCGCAACACGGACTTTCAAAACAAAGCTTGCGCGCGCGCTCTTGTGAACCCTTATGAAAGCCATCGATGCCCAAACCGAGTGTCCAACACACATACAGCAACATATGGTTTCGCAACATCAGTTTTCAAAACAGCGTGCACTCGCACTCTTGCGAATTCTTGAAAAACCCACAGGTGTTTCAACATGTTCGTGGAATTCTTCCGAACGGGCCTCTCGCGCCGCATGCCGACATCATTCGCACGCCCTTGCGAGCGTGCTGCGGGGGGAGGGGGGGGGGGGCGCGATCCGTGTCAAAGAATACCATGCGGGCCACTCTCGCGCGTCGGCCGCGCGCGCATGTCGAACTCTGTCCGAAACCTTCATCACCGACGCGAGGACGCCGTCATCGTCGTCGGCGTGATCAGTATCGTCACCCGCACTGGCCGCGCCTTCGTCGTTGTCAACATCGCCACCAGCGTCGCTACTATCATCATCGTCGTGTCTACCGTTGTCGACGTTGCCATGATACCGCGCCCGTCCAAGTCGCCGACTCGCAGTGAAGTGCCCGCTGGGATATTCCCAGCGGTCAGCGCCACCGCGGCCGCGTCGGTCGAGCCAAACTAGCTGGCCGCTGCGCGCGCGTGTTTGGGCTGGAGCGGCCGCAGAGATGCACCAGCCAACGCCAAGCATGCATTTCAATCGCCACCGCATGGGTTTTGCAAAATAAGTTGCGGGTGGGTGGATAGGGGTGTTTGCAAGAGCATGGGATGGGTCAACTCGTTTGCTAAACTAAATTTTCCACACGTGCATATATGTATATGTAGATGTATGTGTATATGTATATGTACAGGTATAGGTATGTGTGTATGTATGTATGTATGTATGCATGCATGCATGCATGCATGCATGTATGTATGTATGTATGTATGTAAATATGTCTATCTATACATATATATACATAGCACCACACAGAATGCAGCACGTGGATTGCACAACAAATATTGTACCACGTCGATTGTAGCACATGGGTTGCGTGCCACATAGGTCGCGCCACATCTATTGCACAACATAGTTTGTTCCACATATACTGCACCACAACATAGGTTGAGCCGCATAGATAGCTCCACAAATATTGCACAACATCGACTGCACCGGGTACGTTGCGCCACACAGACTCGTCCACACAGACTGCACACCATCGGTTGCTAGAAGCACACTGTTTGGGGTCGACGCTGGCTAACACATCTACAGAGATAAAGAGAGAGAGAGAGAGAGAGAGAGAGAGAAGAAACAAGAGAGAGAAAGAGAGAGAGAGAGAGAGAAGGCATGCCCTCAACCGCCCTTCATCACGTCCTCCTCCTCCTGGCGCTGCCTGTCGAGCACGGTCTGCCGCACCGTCTCAACGAACGCGCAGAAGTTCTTCCTGGAGGAACCAGCGACTGCGTAAACAAGAACTTTCGGAGCTCCGCGCGGACTTCTTGGATCGGGGCTGGGTTTCTCTCCCTGGCGCGCGGAGCGCGCCAGGGGCGGCGCCAGGGCGGCGATCCAAGAATTCCGTGCGGAGCTCCCAGAATTTGCGCTTATGCTGTTTTTCTTCTCCGACTTCCGTACGCCCGCCATGTCGTCCGGGGTCACCGCCGCCGCCGGGCTGACGCCCGCCTGCGCGAGCTTCGCGGGCAGCGGGGCACGCTTGGCGTCGGTCCGGCGCAGCGACTGCACGACTAACACCTGGCTCGGGGGGGCAAACATGGTGCGGTGACATGAAGGGGCCCTGAGACACACAGATGAATACACACAAATAAAAAGGCTCCCCATATTTTCCCATATTTTCTGGGTTCCTGTCTTCCCGCCCACTTCCCATATCTTCCCATATTTTCTGGGGAGTCGACGATTCATGTGTCTGTGTGTTCCTTTCCCTCATGGAAGGACGGTGCGGTGACAAGCCGCGCGGTGACCTCGGAGCCCCCAGAGGCCTCCGCGTTCGGCCCGTCCGCGCACCGTCCTGGGGCCCCCCGAGGCCACCGGTCGTCGCCCGAGGCGCCCTCGGAGAACCGGCCCACGGCCCAAGACCGTGCGACCACCTCGGGTCCCCACGGACGCACCACGCGGTGTGGCCACTGCCACCGTTTGGGGTGAAGGGGCCCTGGGACACACAAATAAATGCACACAGATAAAAAGATCCCCCATATTTTCCCATGTTTTCTGGGTTCTGTCCTCCCCCCCACTGGCCATATTTTCCCATATGCTCTCTGGGAGTCGACGATTAATTGTGTCTGTGTGTTTTTTCCCCTCCTGAACTGCCACCGTTTGGGAGGGGGGGGGCCCCCGAGCCTGGCTCGGGGCGAAGCCCATCTGCCGGGGAAACCACCCGAACCACTGCTCCAGCTCCTGGTCGCTGTTCGGCTTCTCGGGGTTGTAGACGAGGACGACGCCGGCCGCGTCCTTCTTGATCGCGGGCCAGCACTTGGAGAACTTCGGGTCGCCCGACGCGTCCCACAGCTCGACGGTCACGCGCTGGGAGCTCCGGATCTCGGTCTCGAACTCCATGATGCGCACTCCCACGGTCGGGCGGTAGATCTCAGAGGCCGTCTCCACGGCCTCGGCCAGGACGTTGGCGACGAGGGTCTTCCCAGCCTCGCAGGGGCCTACGACTAGAACCTTCTGCTTGGCTCCCGCGTCCGTGGTGGACGATCGCATGGCCATGGCGAGGTCGGGCGCTTTTTGGGGTCGGCGCCGGCCCGGCCCTGCTGCGCACGAGAGGTGGGGAGGCCTCCCGCCACTTGGGCCCGAACGGCTAGCATACCCTTTTTGGGCACGCACCTCTCGCCATCGCTCGGACGTCCATTTCCCGTGCATTTTTCGGGTTCGTGTTTTTTTTTTTTGCTCGATGGTCCAGGATCGTTCTCAACGGTTCTCGCCGAGAAAAAATGCACACATCCGAGCGATGCCAGGTCTGGGAGCAGCTCTCTGACTGTTCGATCAGACAGCCAGTGGAGGAATAGTCGCGACCGCGTCGCGTGAGGCGCTGCGTCAGAATTGGGCACGCAAGACAGTGTGCTGAGCAAGCCATAGTGGCGTCCGCGCCCAGGAACCAACCCGAATGGACCGCAGAATGCGGTGTCCATATGCTTGGCAGATGCTTCCTGTGCAAGGTGGCCTGCGCCCTCGTGCATGCTGGCATATATTGTGACCATTGGACATGTCGAGCGAGATCCGATACGCTGTATTGACAACGTGCCAGCTGCGATAGATGGTGTACACGTCTGTGCCATGCACGCACGCACTCTACTGCTGTCTGCTGCTGCTGCTCCTCTGCGCCCTGCTCGTGTGCATTCACAGCGGGCCCGCACGAGAAACCATGACTAAAAGAAGAAACAACGCCGTAAACATAAACTTTTGGCGCTCCGTGCGGATTGCTTGGATCTGCGCTGGACCCTTATCCCCGGCGCGCGTAGCGCGCCAGGGGTCCAGCGCCCGAGGCGCCGCTGGGGAGGCCCAGCGCGGATCTACGAAATCCGCGCGGAGCGCAGACAGCTTGTCTTCATGGTGCTTTTCTTCTTCGAATGGCGCCAACCATGACGACGTCTCACTTTTCGAGGAGAACAACTATCGTGTTGGGAGGAGGGGGTTGGGAGGGTGAAGGGTAGGAGCAATAGCATCCGGATGCAATGAACGATACCTTCGGCCGCCTACGGGTGAGGATATCCTCATCTCTCCCAACCCCATCCTCCCAACCCGATCAGTGTCTTCCTGACCTTTTGCACCCGCGGACCCAAACATCTGGCCGCTCCAATTTTTTCGATGCGTGGGCCCTGGAGGTCCAGACCGTTTCCCTGGGGCCGGTTTCTCGTCCTGAGCCGTTTTCTGACGTTCCCGAGGCCTGGCGAGGGCGTCCCCGAGGCCGGAAACCGTCAAAACCCCGCCGCTCCAAATGTTGTTGGGGCGTCGGATCTCCGGGCTCCTCCCCGGGCCCAGGAGGAGGAGGAGGAGGAGGAGGAGGAGGAGGAGGAGGAAGAGGAGGAGGAGGAGGAGGAAGGAGGAGGAGGAGGAGGAGGAGGAGGAGGAGGAGGGGGAGAAAGAGGGGGAGGGGGAGGGGAAGAGGGGGAGGGGGAGGAGGACAAGCTAGGTGCGTTCGCGTCATATCTGACATCCAACCCCTCCCTCCCATCCCTTACCATGGCGCAGATCCCCTCTCTACTTGCACAGTCGGATGTCAAACAGGGCGATGATCCCGAAAGGGTGCGCGATGCATTGTAGAGCACGGCATGGCATGGCGTAGAAGAGCACCGCGAAGTGTAGTATCAACCTAGCATTGCATTGCATGCCGTGGCATGGCACGGGAAATGACGCCAGCGCTGCAGCGGGAGCACGAGTCGAAACGAGCGGAAGCGCGGAAATGCAGCCAGCGCTGCAGCGGGAGCACGATTCGGAACGAGCGAAAGCACGGAAATGAGGCCAGCGCTGCAGCGAGAGCACGATTCAGAAGGAGCGGGGCCCGAAAATGAGGCCAGCGCCTCAGCGAGAGCAGCATTTTTGGACAAAATGCAAGCGAAAACCTAACTCCGGGGAAGGCTTCCCGGGCGCCAGAAGCAGAAATTCAGCATTTTCAAAAGAAATATGTGTATTAGAATGGCCTTTTTTCGGCGCCGCCTTGGAACTCGAACTGGCTCCGGACCCGGCCCAGGCGCCGGCCCGGGCGCCGGCTCGGGCATCCGGCCCGGGCGCCGGCTCGGGCGCCGGCCTGGGCGTCGGAATCGGCCCGGGAGGCCTCCCCGGACGCCGGAAGCAGAAATTCAGCATTTTCCAAAGAAAAAATGTGTGTTAGAATGGCCTTTTTTCGGCGCCGCCTCGGAACTCGATTTTCCTGCGCCGGCTGGAACCGGCTCCGGACCCGGCCCGAGCGCCGGCCTGGGCGCCGGCTCGGGCGTGCAGCCCGGGCGCCGGCGGAAATGATGCCAGCGCTGCAGCGGGAGCACGACTCGGAACAAGCGGGGCCCGAAAATGATGCCGGCGCCTCAGCGAGAGCAGCATTTTGGAAAAAATGCAGGCGAAAACCAAACTCCGGGGAAACCTGTGTAAAAAACAGTACGCGGGGGGGGGGCGAATGTTCCCAAGACGTCATCAGGGGAAGAGGGAGAGTAGTATTCATATTGAGTAATTGTGGAGGGGGAGGAGGAAGGAGGAGGAGGAGGAGGAGGAGGAGGAGGGAGGAGGAGGAGGAGGAGAGAGGAGGAGGAGGAGGAGGAGGAGGAGGAGGAGGAGGAGGAGGAGGGGGAGCAGGGTGAGGGGGAGGAGCAGGAGGGGAGGAGGAGGAGGGGGAGGAGGAGGAGGAGGAGGAGGAGGAGGAGGAGGAGGGAGGGAGGAGGAGGAGGAGAAGGAGGAGGAGGAGGAGGAGGAGGAGGAGGAGGAGGAGGGGGGCCAGCGCCAGGCCTGGTCGTGCAACCTAGGGACGGGAGCACGGGCCTTTACATTCTAAAGCTACACGGGACTTAAGGATTTGCCCGTCTTTGGATGGCGACCAGCCCATATAGCAAAGATGACATAATTCTGTGGAGGAGGAGGAATGAGGAGGGGGGGGGAGGAGGAGGAAGAGGAGAAGGAGGAGGGGGAGGAGGAGGAGGAGGAGGAGGAGGAGGAAAAGGAGGAGGAGGAGGAGGAGCAGGAGGAGGAGGAGGAGGAGCAGGAGGAGGAGCAGAGGAGGAGGATTTTTTTAACATCGACAACTGCCAAGCCGTACTCTCTGGGGGGACGGCGCCTCCCCCCAGAGGAGGGGCAAGGCTGGGTGGCGCCACATGCCACTTACGCCACCAGCCCTGCCCCGCCGCTGACGTCACGGCAACTGCGGGGGGACTCACGCCATACGGCTGCCACTCCCGCAGTGCCGTGGAAACAGCGGCGCCCCCCTCGCCCACGCCCGCATTGGGGGGAGCAGGGGGAAAACCATCTCAGCCTGCTGCGTTCGCTCCACGCTGATGGCAGAGCGAGCACACGGTTGGGCCGCAACACGACGCCAAAAGGGCTGGATGCTCCTCGACCCCCGCAAGGGGCCGAGACAAAACTAAAACACATCCCTAGAAAGGGAAAGCGCACTGAGACCTATGATTTCGAACAATCCGTTCAAAAGTTGGGGACGGGCAAAGACGAGGGCGCAAGGGCGGGAAACGCCCCTGCTGGCAACTCTTCAGGTCGGCCTACCCCCAGGTTCTTCCTTGGGTGGCGGCCTTGCATGACTTTGTTAAAATTCGTGCGGCCATGGCCGCGCAACTCGTTAGGACATTCCTTGGACAAAGCAGTCTTGACAAACACAGCTTGATGCATAAATCCCCCGCACTTGGGGCAGAAATAAAAATCAGAACCGTCAGTGCACGGCAGAATAACAACGCTGTGCGAAAGAGAGTCGGCGATGTCCAGATCTGCTCTGGCAACGCCGGTGCACGAACCACCAGGCGGCATGACACAGGAACGAGAGCCTAACCTGCAAACAACGCACCTCCACACAGAGTGTTGCCACTGCCACTGGTGCTGGACCACGGGCTCCTCGGGACCACGGGTGGTGCGACAAGGAGCGACAAACGGAGCACCCTCCAAGTTCAATCGTGGCCACAATGGGAGCAACTTGGCCGCTAGTCGGCACGCAATTTTACTAATCTTGACAGCGCGGTTCACTCGCTCTTCTTCTTCGGGCGAAGGTTGGGGGTGAGAGCGGGCCCCGCGCTGCGCAGCTTTGTCGGCGAAATCATTACCTACCCTGCGGATTCTCTCATCGTCCGAAATGCCCGACTCGTCCTTGTCCTGGTGGGCTTTAACTTTCACCACAGACTGGACAAACGGGGCATTATTGATATACAGGAACTGGCCAGCATAACGCCTCCTGAACGAAACGCGTTCGCTGGGGGGCAGGCGGAAATGATTAACTACCGCAAGGCAGTCAGAAAAAACTTCAGAATTGGAAACCACATGGAGAGCGGCCATGGCGAGGGCACAATACTCCCCAGCTGGTGCTGTCTGGCTAATCGGGTGGTGCACAGGGCCATGCAGGGCGCGCAGGAGGGAGCCCTGGGGGGAGACCATGCAAACCCCCCAGCCCGCCCTTGAAAGTTCTGGGATGGGATGCCAAAAACAACTCCCATCAACATAGATACTGCCCTGCAGGTCCCCATTAGCGAGCTCCTCCGAGAAGTCCTCTTCCTCAGTAGCTGGCAGGATGGCCCCACCCCCCGAGCTAAGGGCCCTAGGCCAGAACGATTCGGGATGCTCGAAGATCCCCCGATCGAAAAGGATGCGATCCCCATCCGACAGCGGACCCAGGGCAATCTCAAGGATCTCTGGAGGAATAAGCTCGCTGCGGGTCTCAGAAACAGCTGGGCACACATAAAGCCTGTGATGCACAGAGTCTGGATGAGCACGACATAGTGGGCAGAGCAACTGCTCGACGCTGAGCTGGTAGCCCACCTCAGCGGCTCTGTCGGCTGTCCAGGCTCCACCGCAGCACAGGTTCCTGATCGAACCCTTCTCCAGAGCAGAATATTTCTTCGAACGAAGCTGGCTCTTGCAGATATCGAAGCAAGCCCTATCCCACCCAACGTCCAAACTCCTTCCCACATGCATCTCCAGGTCCCTAACAACTGCCCGCTTGAGGATGTCCTTCAAGAGGGTAGGGCTGACGAAGGTGAGGGAGACTGGTGTGCCGTCATGCATGGCGAGGGTGGCGTAGTTGGGCATGGACCAACCGATGCGCTTGACAGACAGGAAGAGGGCAGAGATCGGGCCAGCGACAGAACGCCATGTCTTGGGCT